TGTCCTAATGTACCCTTGCATGGGCTGTTCAGAACTCCGTCGATCTCATTTGTGCTTCCATTTTATTTCGTCGTTTTCATTTGTTTAGCGGACTAACTCGTTTACACTCTACCGCGGTAACGACAACTGTGATGAGAAGGCAACTCAGTCAAAATCCCGGTGGCAGTCCGATAGTCTGGCCAAAATCAGGTACCTGTTTACATATTTCCTTTTGTCAGTTATATTGTTATGTGCATTCGCGAATGCTTCTCGACATGTCCGCATATAGCAGCTTTAACTGCCTCTACGGCAACGCTGATCGCGCGCGCGCCCATTTCTCTACGAATAATTCTGAAGCACTAGATGCATGCGAAACGGCAATTCCAGTGCTGTTTTTCTCGGACTTTTCGCTACTCTATGAAGTGAGCAAATTTCAAGGTGTCCGCACATGGGGTCCTGTGTTGGACTCAAATGTGCGGGCATTTCTATGGACACACTAGTCCCGGAGCTCGATATAGCCAACAACTACACGGGAATAACATATTGCACAGAGTCATGCGGTGGATGGGGATGCTCATGTGGATTCCCTTCTTCGGGATGCCTGTTTTATCGCATTTACCATGTTCCCGTGGACGACGATGTCCATGAAGTCTTTCAATGCTTATCATGGTATGAAACAATCAAACTCAAAATAGAGCAACAAGACCGTCAACACAATCAAAGAACTTTCACAGGAGAAATTAAACCCTATACATACCGCACGATGGGCGATATCAACATAGAGGTTACCTCTTTCGCCTTTTCCCATCACCCTCTACTGTCCAAACGATTCTTGTCCAATAACAGGACAACTGTATACCTCGATGACGATACCACATTTACTTATGCCTGCACGTCAAAACCTTCAATTTCAAACACCTCAATCAACAGTTGCAGTATACAGGACACCTGTAAATGTAGTTCGGCGGAGGATACAGTTTCGTGCTACTGCGCGCACAACGATATCCAGCAAATACGACACTTGTCAAAAACATTACCACTACCGCTCCCGAACGGGATCATAAAGGCCGGACCCAAAAATGTACCGGTAATTCACACCACCGACTTTTCAGTTGAGCTGGCCATACATGTCCCTTCCATCGGTACTTCAAGTAGAACGCGAAGTAAGGCAATTCACATGTAACGTTGTATCAACGACCCTCACAGGTTGCTACAACTGTTACAAAGGAGCGGTCGCGCTAATCGACTGCACAGCGGATGTACCGCAATCAACAGCACAAGTAACGTGTGGAATACGTCAGTTTGTGCTTACCTGTACGCGAGAAGGATATAAAAATCATGTCAAACTGTTTTTCAACCGGGCGCGAGTCCGCGAACAATGCCGCGTCCAGTGCGGTTCTCAAGTCATCATCATGGAACTCCATGGAACTCTCAATTACATTAACGGCATAAGACCGTTCTGGAGATACACTACATTAGGGAATCAAACGTCTTTCAACGACAGCTCCTTTCAAATCGATTGGGAACTCCCAGATATTGCACACTTCCTAGATGTCTGCAAAACGTTTTACATCTATACTGTAATAGTCATCGTCAGCTTCCCAGCTCTCGCCATTATCAGCGCCGCATATCTCTGCGCAAGCAAAACATCAAGGGAATGACAGCTTCAACGCCTTCAACATTCACTTTTCTACCCTTCGCAGCATGCACACCACTCCTGCTCGTCAAATTTCTTTTCAACTTTTTCAAATTGTGTGCGCGTGCTCCATTCCTCCTTTGGCGTCGCGCCTTCCGTTTTCTCTTTCAACAGCTATAATTAATAAATTAATATGTCGAATCTCATTTCACCCATCTCACTTTTCCAGCCGGTCGTCCAGTTGTGCCCGTCACTCCCTCCGCCGGTTTTCGCGCTTAATTTTCTCTTTTCAGAATATGGCTGATCCTGCAGATGAGCACAACATGGAAGAAGAAGAAGGCGACATCCCTGTGGAACCAGGAGAGGCTGAAGGCGAGGCAGCAGATGAGAACTCAAGCTCAAGAACGTCAACATCAAGCACCGCCAATTCAACATCAAGCTGCTGAAGAACGTGTTCAACGCGTCCACGATGAAGAGGTGGAGGCCATCCACAGGAAAGTTAACCGTATTCTTGGCAGAACCGACGAGATACATTCTATCAGGACACATGTGCTCAGCAACTACGTGAGTACCCTATTTCTCCTTCTTTTATTTCTCAGTTTTTCAATTTATTTCTTCCACAATTTTCCACTTTTTCAACTTCAATGTCCTATTCGTGAACAAAATTTCGTTATACATCTACATTTTCATTTCTCTTTCAAATCGAGGGCACAGTTCTTTCGAAGTTTTGACATATTTAAAGTGCGGATTTTAAGAAAACACCGCGTTCGGGCAAAAAAGTCAAAGGGGACCAACCTCCATCGCGACCAGCGAAACAGCCTAAAGTTGTTCGGCGCTCAGAGGTATTCCCTCAGACGTATATAACCCCTCGCAAAACTTCATTCCCATCACTTTCCAACTACATCCTTTCAATAAGCCCCTTTTCAGGGCGTCCTGTGTAAAGTTGAAAAGACTACGATCGAACTCAAAGGTGTTCTCGATTATGCAGTTACCGGGTTGAAACAAATTTTCGACATGAACAAAGAGCTGCTACAGGAGATACGAGATCAAACGGACCGAATCTACGAACTTTCGGCACAACCATCGCGCCCGAGGACTCCCCCTCCGGGCCCTAGCCATGCCGATCGGCCCTATGCTCGAAAGAGCTGCGCTTTTTGCGACGCAGACCATCATGCAAGCGATTGCCCTCATTATTCAACTCTTTCTGAGCGCAGGCGCGTGCTTTTTGCTCGCAATAGATGTGAAAGGTGTCTTCTGCGCGCCAATCACATGGCTACATCATGCGACGCGCAAAGCATTTGCTTCTACTGCAAAACCGCCCGCAGGCCCCAAGCTCCACAGCACAATAGTGCATTCTGTCCATTCCATTTTCCTCTTTGAATGCCTCAAAATTTGTCAACTTTTCTATGTTCAACTTCACGTACACGTTTCATGAAAACCATTTCAATTGAGCAGCGTTATCAATTTCAACTTGTAACTTTATTTTAACTTGTGCTTCAATATTCAAATGTTTACATCCATTTCAATTCTAGTTCGTTTGCTGTTCAATCTCCCGTTACTTTGTTTCAACCATTTCTCTCAATACAATCTGTTGCGCTCAGTTTCAACATTTCAACTTCATCTTCCATACCTTTCAAGCATACGTTTCATTGTTTATTTTCAAACTTTTGCATCGGTCGATTGTAGATTTATTGACTCGTTCAGTTTGTGAATTGTGCGATGCCAATAAATAGTTGGGAGTACATGGTCAAGTTTCAAAATAAAGAGAACACACAAAACAAAAAAAAAAGTGATGGCAAATAAACTAATGTAGTGGAATCACATTTTTTTTTGGAATTCTCTCGGTACTACAGCTACGACACAACGATGGCAGCTCTTCGGCAATAACCCTTTTCGTTTTAGCTGATACTGCTTGTATTTTAAAATGTACCTGTTTATATATGCCATTGTACGTTTGTTATTCGTATTTGATTTACGTCGTTGAAATTAAGAACTTAAGTTGCTCACAGGAAAAAAAAAGAGGTCAAAAAAAAACTTTTCAAACGTGGCATACCCCGGCAGGCATTGTGCCAAAACATAACTCCTCTTGGCCCTTATCCTCCCTTATTCTCGCGGGAAGGATGCCAGTTTTTCTTTTCGCTGGGGAGTGTCATGAACTATGTTCATGATGCGAGTCTCTAATCCCCGCCCTCGCGGGGGAGGCAGGAAATCAGGCGTGGGGAACGCCCTCTAGTCAGTCGGAGATATACGTCCTAGAACAGAGCGTAGTCGGTCAGCGTCAGCTCGCATCGAGGATTCCCAGGAGTGGAGTGGGAGATCGAGCACTATTTAGAAGATGGCGGACCCGCAGAGGTTGGGAGAAGGGACCCAACGGCCGAGGAAACAGAGCTTCAATCTCAAGTAGTCAAGAAGCCAAACCCAGTCAAAATTCTTGTCAAAGAACTTCAAGTGAGCAGTCAAAGTTGTAGTCCGTGTGTTAATATTCTATTGAGATTGGTCTAGTAGTAAGTGTAAAATAAATACGTGTTTCTAAGTTGTTGTGTAATATTGTAAGAACCACCAAAACCACATCTGAGGAGTGATGCCCTCAGAACAGGGGGGTAGAGAGAACTATTTATCATGAACTTGAACTACCCATGAGGACCAACTTCCACTCAAACCGAGGTTGACCGGAATTTTTAAAACTGCGGCGGTGAAGGAGGATAGTCTAGTTTCCCAACGAAAATAAGGCAGTTGAATGAGGAACACTACCTCCCGATCTCCCGGAGAATATTGAAACATGGGCCACACCATGGAAAAACAACAGAGGTATGATCAGAAAATTAAAGCCACACATACATCGACTGCTACTGCTTTTCTATTTTTGTGAAACAGTTTGTTGGAACATCACAGTAGAATAGAAAAAGCATAAAACTTACATGATTATTTCTGAGTACAGTGACAACTGCCTGGACAAAAGGACTCCTATTCATTGATCCACGAAACATGTTGTCACCTATGTAAAATTTTTAAATATTCGAAAAGCCATAAAAACCGGCAACACAGGCTCATTGACAACGGCACGTAACATTATAACCTCTGATGTGTAAGGAGCACCCCGACCCCGAGTGTTGCGAGGTGTTTCGCGCGGGGTAGGTTGCATCTTTCGGTTTGCCTTTCAATCGTAAACGGTTTCGTATATAGTTGTTTCACGTCTTTGAATTCAAACATTCCTATAATTAAATAGTTTCAGCACCCACAAATCCTGTCCGCAACTTCTTCAACACGGCCTGGGCGCGGAACTGTTTCAGCCTGCCTGTGCGGAATGTGACACGGTGAAGCCTGGCCACGCTAATTGTGATTGAATTGTATGCAAAGAACAGCAACGATGTGGCTCATACCCCTGAAACTGGAGGAACCATCGACAGCGCAGCGTTAGTGGGAACCTCTCGGGCGGGACTGCATGAACCTGAAGGTCAAACAGGCTGCCCAGGACTAAGATGGCCGTCTATACTTCAATCGTACGCAGGAAGGAAGGCCTCATGACAAAAGTTAGGAAGATCAAGTGCGACGTCATCGGGCTCACCAAGAAAAGAAGAACCGACCACACGCTCTCAACAGAACTGGAGACGGAGCGTCCCTTGGAAGATACGACAAAGAAAGTGTTGCGGTGTGGGTGTCATCGTCAACATGCATTACGGAATGAACATCTGTTTGTACTATAATCTG